GTGACCGCGACGAAGCCTGGCTGCACGGGCGCAACCGAGGGAGACGGGGCAAAGGCAGGTGGCGACATCCGAGCCCTGCCCCCGCCAACCATCTGTTCCTGAGCACTTTCCTAGGGTGGAGGGCTCGGGGTGAAATCCACACGGACTTTTGCACCCCGACCGAAGATCAGCAAGTCCTGTGATTCGCCTTCTGCAGATTCAAGCCTCGAAAATCCATCGAAGCGGCATTTCAGATTTCACCCTTTGCCCTCCACCCATATAAAATGCTCGGGATTCTCTTGAATCGATGGGAGGCGGGGGCAGTGTTCGGACTTCGCCACGTGTTCGGCGAGTTCCGAACCCTACCCCCGCCGCCCATCGAGTTGCCTGAATAGTTGATTTGATCGGCGAGGGCAAGGCTCGGAGTCCGCCGCCGAAAAAGGAGGACACGCATCAAGACACCAAATGCTTTCGTCAAGACATCCCGGGTTCCTTCGTTCCGCGCGCTGCGCAAAGTTACTCCCCGCGGCCGTCGACGATGCAGCTGCGATCGGGGTGCTCTGGGTTCCCCCCCCTGCGTACTTCTCGCCCACGGGTTCTCAGGGCAGGGTTTAGGAGCGCCCCTGCCGTCTCAGGAGCCGAGGGGAGATTGGGAGGGACAGGAAGGTCACCCATAGCAGGTGGCTTCTCGCGTACGGGTTTTCATGGCAGGCTTCAGCGGCCGCGTCCGCACTGCAGAGGATAGAAGCGCCCCCCCCGCCTTGGGAGCCGAGGGGACACCGGGAGCGGAAGGAAGGTTACCCACAGCAGGTGGCGTCTACAGCGGCGGAGGTGCTCCCCAAGGGCAGCCGAGGGAAGGGACATGAGGGATAGGAACGGAGATGAAAGCGGGCGGGCAAAATGGCCAGGAATTAGACAGGGGTGGAGGGAAAGGGGAGGATGGGGGACTGTACAGCGAATTAGGGCAGGGCTGGAGAGGAGAGGCAGAAGGGGAGAGGGCCAGAAAGACAAGGGGGCAGGACGCAGGAGACCCGACAGAAAGAGCGACAAGAACAAACAAACGTGCAAATATGTTGAAGCGGCAAGGTGAATACGTCGTCGGCTTGACCCGGCTACAGTATGAAGAAACGTATGTATCTGCTTCGCCCACATGGTGGTATTTCCCTACGTATCGAACGTGTGTAGATAGCATGAGACCCTGCAAGTTCAATCCTACGGCTCTGAACAGAAGCCGCACTGGTATTCGAAGATGAGATGCCAGCACCAGAAGCACTGCCGCAAGCAATGACAATCAAGGCTTGGCATTCGGCATAATAGCCAAATCACAAGCAACATAGGACGGGCGTGCAGTAGCAGGACGAGACATGACAAAACAACCGACATGGGCGTAGAGGCAGAAATAGGAGCTGGAGTAGCAGCATCGATCAAGAATCCACCATGGCAAGATATCCAGACCCAGCATCTTTGCACGTGCACTCTCGCACATGACACGTGCAACGCACCCACCAATAGTGACACCATCTTTAGGCTTCTCCACCTGTGGGTTGAGGGGCAACGACAGGGGGGAACTGGCACAGGGGGGGTGCATCGACCTGGAATCGGCGATACATCGCCGATGGGTCGGCGATAGGCCCCCGATAGCGACTCCGCACCCTCCTGGGCAGGCTGGGGCTGGGCTATCGGGCCTTTTATCGGCGATCCATGGGCGATTGGGGGTCGACAAATCCCCACCTATGCCTATGCTCCCCTTGCGTTGCCCCTGATTGGTGCCTTGCGCGATCCGACATCAATTGCCCGTGGTATCTGGTCATGGCCTCGGGTGCTTGATGGGCATGTTTTCCACCACCACCACCACAGTAAGTTGGAGGGGGAGGGGGTCCTCCTCCAACTCCTCCTCCTCCTCCTCCTCCTCCTCCTCCTCCTCCTCCTCCTCCTCCTCCCCCTCCTCCCCCCCTCCAACTTATGGTGGTGATGGTGATGGTGGTCCGCGGCCTCTGCTCGTGGCCCGCGGCCTCTGGCCACCACCTCTCCGAGCCGACGCGAGCCGCGGCGACGACGGGCCGCTCCTTAAGCCGGGGATCGCCTGACCCGGGGCAGTCCAGACCTAGGTCGGGCATGTCCCCCCACACGGGAAGTCTGGACGGAAAAAAAAAATAATATAAATACAACAGAAGTAAGCAAAAATAGTCAAATGATGCTAAAACATCTCCCCCCGGCTATCTTTTACTATCGTTGAATATTCTTAAATCCAGACCTGGGCCAGTCAGGCCTCGCAGAATCCTGCAAGATCCTCCAAGATCCTGCGCCCAAGCCAGGGTCAGTGCGAAGGATCCTACAGGATCCTGCACCCAATTCCGAGGTCAAAGAGACCCTGGCCCTGCAGGATCCTGCAAGATCGGGCGCTCTGGCTGACCCCCGTTTGCATTGACCTCCGTCTCAAGGCTCCCAATCAAGCGCCTCAGGAGATTGACCGGTGCCCTTCATCATTAGCAGACCCGCTCGGGGGGCACTCGCGCAGCGCCAAAGGCCCCGACCTGCGAGCGACGCATGAGCGAGCCAATGAAGGTCCCTGGAAGCCCCAGGATGCCTCTGCAGGCCTCAATGCGAAAAATTGGCCTGGCGAGAAGTCCAACCCCATGAGGCTGCGTGCACAAGACGGCGTGCCCCTCTCTTCAACTGCCGCGGGCCGCGGGCCTGTGCGGATGGAGGTCAGCGAAACAAGCGCGCAGACAGAGGCGCATTGAACCCGTGGGGCACGATCCACGTGAGGGGGAATGCCGCATTGGGCGAGGCCCCCACGCGCACGCGCCAATTGATTCCGTGAATGGAGCCCCATGTATGACGCCATGCGAACTTGCCCAACGGTGCCGCAAGCAGAACTCCTGTGGGGCACGATCCGTGCGAGGGTGTGCCGCCGGTGGAAACGGCCCACTGGGGCCGCCGGTGGAGCTCCGCATGGGGCGTGATCCATGCGAGGGGTGTGCCCAGGGGAGGGGCGGCAAGAGATCTTGCCCGTCGGGATCGGAGGTGGACCTCCTGTCGGGGCACGAAGCGTGTGAGCAGTGTGTCGAAATGGGCGGGGGGCGGCATGCGATCTTGCCCGTTGTGATCGTAGGTGGAGTCCCCCGTGGGGGTACGAAGCGTGTGATGTGTTGACCGAAATTGGCGGCACGCCATCTTGCTTACTGAAGCGGTAGGTGGAACTCCCTGTGTGGGGGCGCGGAACGGGTGAGGGATGCGCTAAAAGTTCTGGTGGGCGGCATGCGAACGCGCCCGCTGAGACACTAGGTGAAGCCCCCTAGGGGACACGAAACACGTGACTGGAACGCCAGGATGCGTGGGTGGCGTCGTGGGCTCGCGCCCACCAAGACCTCAAAAGGAGCTCCCCGTAGGGGGCACGAATCGCACCGAAACGGGCGGGGAACGGCATGCGCCCGTGCGGATTGAGAACCCGCGTGGGGGGCTCCCCGTGGTGCACGGAGCGTGCGAGGGGTGTGCCGACGTGGGCATGCGGACGGAAAACAGAGGCATGTATAGAAGGCAGAGGAGGAGGAGAAAGAGGAGGAGGAAGAGGTCTACGGCCGGTCTGAGACATAAATATTCCCCCTTCCTCTCCGTGACAAGCCGGGGGGCGCTGATGCTGCAACGACGTCCTCTTAAGGAGGGTCGATGCACGACCTGCCGTTTTTCCTTCAGGCATGCCTCCCCGCACGCGCAACTTACAAGCTGCTCGGGAACGAAACGAAGAGGAGGAGGAGGAGGAGGAGGAGGAGGAGGAGGAGGAGGAGGTGACGAGAAGGTCCGACGCGCGGCGCCGCTGAGAGGAAGCGAGGACCCAGCAACGCAGGAGGGTTGGGGGAAAGGGCCTCCAAAACCCTGATCCTGGAAACTGGACGGCGACCACGCGAAGGACCTCCACGCTGCAAAAAGATCCCTCCCCTCCTCTGCTCTGCATCATGTGCCCGATTCGCTGGCCCGCGGCGGGCGCATTCCCCCTTCTCAACCTCCCTCCCGTCTTCACGAGCCCCATCAATCCTGCTCAAGTCCCCTTGTGTTCCACATACACGTCCACATGCAACCTCCCTCTCCCCCATCTCCCCTTCCTTCTCATCCCAAACCTTCTCATCATCTTCCCCCGCCTCTTCCTCCTCCTCCTCCTCATTCTCCTCCCAGGTCTTCTCATCCTCATCCTACTCCCCTTCTTGTGATCCTCCTCCTCTCCATCATCCTCCTCATCCTCCTCCTCCAACTCTTCGTTTCTCTTATGTTCTCTTCTCTTCTCTTCTCTTGTCTTCTCTTCTCTTCTCTTCTCTCCTCCTCCTCCTCCTTCCCCGCAAGCTGGGGTGCCTAGCAGGCCACCGACGGGCTGCGCCTGGGCGAGCGCGGCGCGAACGGATGCGCGCGCACACCTTTGGGAGAAAGTAGCCGCCTGGGGAGGTCAGGGCAAACGGTGACGCGACGGTATGGGCAAAAGGAGCAGCTGGTGGGGGATCAGCGGGTGAGGGCCAGGTCTCTGTGTGCTGGGACAGCGAGGCGTGAGGATGGGGGGAGAGGGGAGGAGAGAGGAGGAGGAGGAGGAGGAGGAGGAGGAGGCGGAGGAGGAGGACAGAGGAGGGAAGAAGAGTGCGGGGGAGGTGGGAGGGTAGAAGGGGGAGGGGAGAAGGGGGATGGGGAGGGGCGTGAATGGAGGTTGAAGGATTAGGGAGGGAGGAGGTGGGGATTTGTGAAGCGGCGGCGCAACGACGCGCGAAAAGCATGCGTGGGAGACGATGCACCAGACACGGCACCCCGCACACAAAAACGACGCGCCCGACGTGCACCACAATCCAACCCGCACCGATCAAAAATTTGTGGCCCACGTTGCACGCACCGCCACAATGCCCACGCACGGCGCGCGCCGTGCGCACACGGCACGCCACAGAAACTTGGCCGCGAGCCCCCATGGCAGCGAGAGGAGGCAACCCTTTTCGGAAAGCGGCGGGGCTTCTCGGAAGCCCCCGGCGCCTTCTGGGAAATTGTCTGAACCATCTCCAGAGACAAAGACGGCTTCCCAGAAGGCCGGAGGTCTTCTGAGAGACCTGGCCGCCTTCTGCGAAGGCCTGCCCCCTCTAAGTTCCCCCCTGAGCTCGCCGCCGATCAACGACAAGCGGCGCCTTCTCTGCGCTAGCGGCACGGCGCACGCTACAGCAACAAGGCACGACGCGCAACGCACGGTGCTCACGAAGCGGCGGTCACGACACGTTGCGCATCGCTGGACCAATGGACCACCCCCCAATGGAGGCCGGGATTGAATTCTTGGTCGATGATTCCGAAGCCAAGGGTCCACATCCGAGATGTAGATAGCATAAACATGCGCTGGAGACGTGCAGACCACTGCCCCGGTATGAGGACGTGCTCCCCTCATGCTGAGTCGGGGTTCGACGTCTCCGCCTCGTCACCCACCCGTATCTCTCGCACTCAACTCTGGTAAGCCGTCATTCCTGCTCAGACCGCCCCCACTCAGATCCACTGATACTCAGCTCAGTGGCACCAAGACTCAAACACCCAGACCGCTCACACTCTAACCAGGCAACCTCAGACTCAATCAGATTCAGACTCACGCTCTGACTCAGCCACATTCTGTCTCTCACCTCTCACACTCAGACCCATCCACATTCGCAAATCATACTCAGATTTGCACCTGATTGCCGCGGTGTAGCAGGCATAGCACTTGAGCACCCCCAGTATAGTTGTCAAGAGACTCCGAGAGGCATCCAAGATGCCTCAGGCCTTTCTCATGGCCCTCCTCCTGCTCTTCCTCATCGGCCCATCCTTCCTCCTCCCTCTTCTCTTCTCCCCCTCCCCCTCCCCTTCCCCATCCTCTTCCTCCGCCTCCAATTCCCCCTGCGTTCTCCCACTCATGAAATGATATGACGGCTTCCCCAGCACTTCATTCCACTACGTGCTCCTGCACATCCCTGATCAGGGCAACTCACCTGGGCATCGTTTCTGGATGGGCTGGTGGGGCTACGCGAAGCGTCAAGTCTTTTTTCGTTCGCATCCAAATGAGTTGGATGCCTAGAGCGAGGCACTCGTGCTGTGCCCCTGGGTCTCTGCTTTCAAAGCCCCCCGATCACCGCGACGTTGCCGGCATAGCATCCGACCGCTCCAAGGGAGAGCCGCCAGGGTGTAGCGCAGGGGCCCGTTCGCGCCCAGGTTGTGGAGCTGTCTAGAGCGAGGCGATCGTTTTGCACCCCAGACTCCTCTCCTCTCGGAGCCCCATGATCACCGCGATGCAGCAGGCATAGTACTTGACTCACCCCGAAGGTGAGCCGCTGGGGGGGTGCTGCATTTGCCTGGTTGGTGGGGATGCCTCGAGCGAGGCGCTCATTTGGCACATCGGCCTCCTCTCCGTTCTGAGCGCCATTGTCACTGCGATGTCGCAGGCACAGCACTTGACCATTCCAAAAGTGAGCCGCTGTTTGGTTGGCAGGGTTGTCTCGAGCGAGGCGCTCGTTTTGCACCTCGGACACCTGCCCCTTCTAACCCCCATGACAACCGCGATGCGGCAGGCACAGCACATTGGCACTACACTCACCTTACCCAATATCAGAATGCGTACATGTGTGTACATACGCGCGTCTATACTAGAATAGGTCTCTCTCGGTATGTGTATGTGTATGTGCATATACAGATCTGTGCACATGTGTCTGCGTGTACACATGTTGTTAATTACTTGAACGCGAGCTGAACCCAACTCACCGCCGACCACAACAACGCATACTGTTTCGTTTCTAATGTTCCGTCGAGTTGCTCCCGGCTTTCGGCGGCCCCACCACAAAGGGAATCTAAGTGTGAGACCACCAGACGAGGGAATCGAAGTGCAGGGCCGCCACAATGTGAATCGAATTTCAAACCCTGCGACAAAAACAAATATATGTGAAACCCCGTCCACTTGGGGTGTGTCAGGGACGAAAGAGATAGATAGAGAGAGAGAGAGAAAGGCCAGACACAGAGCTCGTTGCGGACTGGCTGCGGGCATGCAATTTAACCAAGAGGATGGCCCTTGAGAAATCAATACCAAGGCTGGAACCCATGTTACATCCGTGTCATGTTCCAGGGCACCCTCTCGACACGACGCCATATCTGAGCATTCACTTCATGTGTATAATACATCTATACGTAGCGTGTGTATACATGTGTGCATCATGACATGCATGCACATGCTCTGTGTCACATTTGTGAGGTACGTTGGCTCATCCACCCATGTACAACAACAAACATATGCACGTATGGTCTATACACGTAGAAAAGGTTGCCATGATTTACATGCTGTTTGCAGAGATACCGTGTTGATGATCCTCATATGCGTCCGTCTCTTCCTCCATCTCTCCCTTGCCTTCATATGTTTCTTCTTCTTCTTCATCGTTATGACACTCCTCTTCCTCCTCGTCTTCCCCCTCGCTCCTCCTCGCCGCTCTACTCTTGCTCTTTCTCCTCTACTCCCCTCCTCCACCTCTTCCTGCTTCCATCCCCTCTGATCTCGCAGCAGCACCACGACCCGCGCGCAGCTCAGCCGAAAAGAGAGCGCGCAATCCAGGCTGTCGGCGCGGCCGCGGCTGTGAAGCAGCACGGCCACCACGATGCACACCTGGCCCCGCAGGGCCGACATGGAGAGCCGTGCGGACATGGGATGACCAACTGGCCAGGCGAGAGGAGCAGGTAAGCAGGGCCAGAGCAAACCCACTCCTCCTGTGATGGCCTGTGCCTCCGCCACCCCCCGCCGCACGTCTCTCCCCCTCCGCCAGCCGCTCACCTTCTCTGCCCCCTCCCTCCACCACCTAACTACGGAAGGTCGGACCAAGGACAGAATCACATCCTCCAAGAACATGACTCTCCACAGGCCAAACTGACGCGCATTCGAGGGTACCCTCCCCCAGGATGTACAAGAACATCCCACTAACGCTAAAAACATTAGGGTACCCTCCCCGAACTGATCTCGGACCAGATCCCCTCCACTCCCCTTCCCTCGCACCTTCGGAGGCAAAATCCTGGGGGGCGACCCCGCCGTGCCAAACCAGCCTGAGCCCCACGTTGAGCTGGTTCCGTCGGGCTGGATAGGCACAGAGGAAATACCAAAGCCGATGCTGATTTTCAACCTCCCAAGGATTGCTCTCGAGCGCTCCGCACGTGCGTCTGAGTGTCACCCGGCGAAGGGGCCAAGCTCGAGCATCGCCTGCGCAAGCGTAAGACTACGGACAGAGCGGCGGCCTCCGCAGCGGCCGGGCTCGACGTCACCACTGCCCTCCCCGGTGGCAGTAATGACTCAGTGTGCCCCTGGGCCGCCTCGTACCAACTCGCCATCGCTCGGACGTCCCTTTCCGATGTCGTGCGTGTATTTTGGACAACGATCCAAGAGGCTCCTCAATGTCCCTCGCCGAGGAAAACATGCACACGTCCGAGCGATGCCAAGAACCCCAATGCGCCTCCTCCTCCTCCTCCTCCTCCCCCTCACCCTCCTCCTCCTTCTCCTCCTCCTCCTCCTCCTCCTCCTCCTCCTCCGCCTCTTCCCCTCTCCTGGCGCGACGCGGGCGCTGGCACGGTGGGGGGATGTGCCGAACCCCGGCTGGCTTGCCACAGGGGCGCCAGGGGCGTGCTGATTTTTGCACATTTTCTTGTCCTTTTGCGAACGTTCCCAATGGAACTTCGGCCTCATGTCCCGGCCCTGCACAAACAAGGTTTTCGTCGGCGCTCCACCCCTTGAGGATCCAGAAACTTCCCAGGTCGTCGGTCTTCCCGCTCTGGAGGCCCTAAGATGGCCTCCAAGACGGACAAGATGGTCTCCAAGACGGCTGCGATGACCCCAAGAGATCCCAAGATGGCCCCAAGAGGTATCCAGGACGGGTCGAGATGCCCCCAGCATGGCCCAAGATGGCCTCAAGAGGCCTCCAAGACGGCCCAAGGAGAGAGTGCTTGGTTTTCCCGGCGGGCCGTACTAGTACGCCAAAATACGCCTACTAGTACGACCCGGCGGGTCGTACTAGTACGCCGAAGTACGCCTACTAGTACGACCCGCGGCGCTCGGGAGGCGTACTCGTAGAGCAAAAGTGCGCCTACTAGTACGACCCGGCGGGTCGTACTAGTACGCCGAAGTACGCCTACTAGTACGACCCGGCGGGTCCTACTAGTAGGCCAGAGTAGCCCTACCAGTACCCCCCCAACCCCCCAGGGCCGTACTAGTACGGCAAAGTAGCCCTACTAAGAGCTCTGCCGGGGCAGACTTTCGGGGACGTCTCGAGCAGAGGCTCACTCCGCCGGTCGTACTAGTAGCCCAAAGTAGCCCTACTAGTAGCCCTGGCGGGGCGGATTTTCGAGGATGTCTCGAGCGGAGGCCCCCTCCGCCGGTCGTACTAGTAAGCCAAAGTACCCTACGAGTACGCCCCCGCCACGCTCCCAGGGACCGTACTAATAGCCCAAAGTAGCCCTACTAGTAGCCCCTCCAAGGCGAACTTGTGAGTATGTCTCAGGGGGGCTCTCTCCGCAATTCGTACTAGTAGGCCAAAACAGCCCTACTAGTACGCCTCCGCCAACCCCCCAGGACTGTACTGGTAGGCCAAAGTAGCCCTACTAGTAGCCCCGCCGGCCATCCTCCCGGGTCCGTACTAGTAGGGCTACTTCGGCCCTACTAGTAGCACCGCCGGGGCGGACTTTCGAGGATGTCTCGAGCGAGGGCCCCCTCCGCTGGTTGTACTAGTACGCAAAACTAGCTCTACTAGTACGCCCCGGCGGGGCGGACTTTCGAGGATGTCTCGAGCAAGGGCCCCCTGCGCCGGTCGTACTAGTAGGCCAAAGTAGCCCTTCTAGCACGCCCCCGCCAGACCCCCCTGGACCGTACTAGTGGGCAAAAGTAGCCATACTGGTAGCCTCGCTGGGGCGGACTTCCGAGAATGTCTCGAGCGGGGGCCCTCTCCGCTGGTCGTACTAGTAGGCCAAAGTAGCCCTACTAGTACGCCCCCGCCACCCCCCCGGGACCCGTACTAGTATAGGCGAAAGTAGCTCTACTAGTAGCCCTGCCGGGGCGGACTTTCGAGGATGTCTCGAGCGGGGGCGCTATCCGCCGGTCGTACTATTGGCAAAAATAAAGTTAACCTTAATAACTAGCACGCCCCGGCCATCCCCCCGGGTCCGTATTAGTAGGGCTACTTCGGCCCTACTAGTAGCCCCGGCGGGGCGGACTTTCCAGAATATCTCGCGCGGGAGCGCCCTCCGCGGGTCGTCCTAGTAGGCCAAAGTAGCCCTACGAGTACGCCCCCGTCAAGCTCCCGGGGGCCGTACTAATAGGCCAAAGAAGCCCTACTAGTAGCCCCGCCGGGGCGGAGTTTCGAGGATGTCCCGAGCGGGAGCCCCCTCCGCCGGTCGTGCTAGTAGGCCAAAGTAGCACTACTAGTACGCCCCCGCCACCCCCCCGGGGCCCGTACTAGTATAGGCGAAAGTAGCTCTACTAGTAGCCCTGCCAGGGCGGACTGTCGAGGATGTCTCGAGCGGGGGCGCCCTCCGCCGGGCGTACTATTGGCAAGAAAAAAAAACCCTACTAGCACGCCCCGGCCATCCCCCGGGGCCGTACTAGTGGGGCTACCTCGGCCCTACTAGTAGCCCTGGCGGGGCGGACTTTCCAGAATGTCTCGCGCGGGAACGCCCTCCGCAGGTCGTACTAGTAGGCCAAAGTAGCCCTACGAGTACGCCCCCGTCAAGCTCCCGGGGGCCGTACTAGTAGGCCAAAGAAGCCCTACTAGTAGCCCCGCCGGGGCGGAGTTTCGAGGATGTCCCGAGCGGGAGCCCCCTCCGCCGGTCGTACTAGTAGGCCAAAGTAACACTACTAGTACGCCCCCGCCACCCCCTCAGGCCCGTACTATTAGGCCAAACGAACCCTACTAGTAGCCCCCGCTGGGGCGGACTTTCGAGGATGTATCCAGCAGGGGCGCCCTCCGCAAGTCGTACTAGTAGGCCAAAGTAGCCCTACTACTACGCCCCAGCCATCCCCCCGGGTCCGTACTAGTAGGACCACTTCGTCCCTACTAGCAGCCCCGGCGGGGCGGACTTCCGAGAATGTCTCGAGCGGGAGCGCCTTCCGCCGGTCGTACTAGTAGGCCAAAGTAGCCCTACTAGTACGCCCCCGCCAGCCCCCCTGGGCCATACGAGTACACCAAAGTAGCCTTACTAGTAGCCCCGCCGGAGCAGAGTTCCGAGAATGTCTCGAGCGGAGGCCCCCTCCGCCGACCGTACCAGTAGTAGGCTCAAGTAGCTCTACTGGAATGCTCTGGCCGAAACCCTCCTACCCCTTCCCTCTGCTCCCTCCCCCCTCTCTCTCTCTCTCTCTCTGTGCGTATTCCTCGTTTTTCCCTCTCTCCCTCCCCCCGATCCCCTCCTTCTCTCTCCTCCCTCCTTCCCACTTCCTCGTCGCCGGCGCTGCCGCCGTGGCCGTCGTCGTCGCCGTCGCCGTCACGCAGCCCCAAGCCGACCCCGCGGAGGCCCCAAGAGCCACAATTAAGGCGAATCGTGATAAGAAGATTATAGCTACGATTCGCACATCGCTCGGCGATGATAAAGTTCAGTCTCGCCGCCCCCTCCGCCGACCAAACGTATATTTCCAGAAATATCCAACGCGGCGGAGTTTAGGATCCCGGACGGGTACGCAACGGCACTCACACCAGCTTCCTCACCAGAGCAACTCTCGAGAACGCTTCCATCAAAACCCCAGAGAAATATTTTCTCACGGAGAACGATTGCAAAGTCATTCCCTGAAGCCTTCCACTCTCCGCCCTGGCACAGCGTAAGCACAGTACCACCACAATCTCATACAATGAAACAGGAACACCCTCAAACAACAAGGAACCTGACACGCGTGAACCCCACCCATGAGACTTTTTCCCGCTCTTCACTGTGAATATCAAGACCGAAACCGCAACCCCCATGGCCCCATGCCCGCTGCATCTCACACGACCGATAGCGCACCCGACTCAGAGTCGGAGTCTACAACGGTCGGAGCCACATCGCGGTCGGCACCCACCTCGTCTGGCACGATTAACGGCGCGCCCACCTCGCATGCCGACTCTACTCCTGTGTAGACAGTATCTGGATCCATGCCCTCCGCGCCGGACTGAAGGGCGCCGCGCTCGCGTGCGCGCCACGACACCCGGAAGGCAACGAGAACCTCAGCGGTGACTCTGTGAACCAGCTCTCGTTGGCGGCACGCTGCCCAGCAGTCAGCGGCTGAGTCGGCGACGCCTCATGTTGCGTGGGCGTGGTGCCATCCAGCGCTCGCGCCGCACTCTCCAGCACCTGCTCAGAAGTCAATCCGCCGCTCAGCAGAGCCTGGGCAGCGCGCGCAAGGGAGTGACGAGATGGGTCGCCTTCTCAGAACCATCTCTAGCGGGGGGCTCATACTGGAACCAGCAACCCCGCCATACAAAACAAATGTTGCTGAGAAGCCCCTCCCCCTCGCCATCCCCGCTTGCGCGCGCGGCCGAGAACCGGGCCGCGCGGCCGCCTCATATACACTGGAAGATTATCCGAGAAGACTCTCGCCACGCCGCCAATCAAGTCCGTGATTCGCGAGTTCTCGCTCCACTCCGTCAGGTGCGGCGCCGAGATCCTGCCGCCCGCGTCGACGCCCGGGCGCGGCTGCGCCAATCCCATAGCCCCCGATGGCGCCACGAAACAGCGCGGCGGAACTCCTGGGTACAACGAGCCGAACGCCATGCCGACGGGTACATGGTAGACACCGCCTTGGTAATGGATGGGCAAGACTCCGCCCAGGTAAAACTCCGCCTCCGTTCCCCCGATGCCTCCGACCATTTTCGCCTCAGAGGCCAACGCGGGCGCCACTTCCAGGATGCGCCCCACGTCAGCGCGCAGCCTGAGCCTGTTCTCGCACGTCCAGGGCACCGCGATGATCACCTCATCAATGTGCCCCCTTGCCGGGCGCTCATGTCGCGCCATGGCGACGAGCGGCGCAGCGAGAACGAAACCCCTCGACGCGCGAACCGCCCCGCAGGGGGAATCGCCATGCCACTACAGCACGAAGACGCCGACTGTGCGGATCCCCGGAAAAAAAATAGGCATGTAGGCCCTGACAATTACAACAGACTTGCACGCGCATCAACCAGCATTGAATGTCCTCTCGAGCTTCACTCTTCTGAGAGTACATTGGAGTATTGGAATAGTGGCGGCCTGTAAAACTTTGGGAAGCACCCGAGAACTCGCTGTCAATATCCGACGTCGCAGCGTGACGGAGCCCCCACCCCTCCAAAACGATTGCAATGATGAGCGCCTCAACAATCGACAAATCAGGCATATGCTCACTGCGACTGCTGAACTAAAGCTAATGTACACATGAAGTAGGAAGCCAGACGAAGTAGGTTGGTCTCGGCCCACCCACCTAGAAAATCTGACAATGAATGTCCGACGTCGCAGCAGAACCTCCACCCCCACCAAAGCAATCGCAATGTACAGTCCCTCTGATCACCTTTACAACATCACAAGTCAGGCATATTCCCACTACGAGTCCTGAACTAGTGTACACATGAAGTAGGAAGCCAGATGAAGTAGGTTGGTCTCAGCCCACCCACGTAGAACACAGAATAATGAATATCCGACGTCGCAGCGGAACCGCAACCCCTCCAAATTAATTGCAACCTCACCAATCAATCATATGCTCACTGCGAGTGCAGAACACACCCCTCTCCTTCGAGGCGCCACTAAAGCGGGCGCGCGCTGGCGCGATGACAAAAAAACACCCCTCCTGAGGCAGCGGAGCGAGCGGACTTCCCCCACCTTCCTCGTGGCCGTGTCCCTGACCCTGCCTCCCCATGTGCGCTCTCTCGCCGCGCCCTCGGCGCTCCGCTCGCCCGTCGCACAACGCATGGCGCATCTGCTGCGCGCCTACATCGGCCCACGGAAGTCCGACGCCAGCGCGCGCGGCGCCGGGGCGGCACTCGGGCGCGCAGTGCCCGCTGGTCCGCGTCGCTTCTTGCGCGCGTTGGACGACGGGCTGCTGCGCGCGGACGGCCGCGCCCCCGGGTTAGGCGAATCACTCGCACGGCCACCTGGCGCCGCCGCGCGCGCAGGCGCGCGCCCCGGCCTGCGCGCGGGAGCCGCGCCGGAAGCAGCCGCGCCACGCTCGTAATCCTCTGGGGCAACTCCCCATTGCGCCAACTGGTCCACGAAGGCAGCGACTTCTTCTTCATCAATCGGGACTTTGGGCTTCTCCCAGAACCCCGGCTGGCATTGTGGTCAGACTTCCGGCCCAGCCCCGCATGCAAGAGCTCGCCCTCGACCGCGACGGACATCCACCAGGACAACGACGGCCAAGCGACCTGACTCGAGCGGATGGCGGCGGAGACCATGTTGCCGGTGATGCGGTTCTCGGCCGTGGAGCATTTCCACAGGAGCGTGTTCTTGCAGGCGGCCGCGATCAGGTCGCCGCCGCCCCGCGTGGCCTCCGCGTCGTCAACTCCGGCGATCATGCGAGACTTCAAGCCCGCATCAATTATCCCCACAAAGACGTACTCGTCGACGCCCTGCGTGATCCGCGGCACAGGCGGGGTCGGCACGGTGGGCGGGTGCTCGTACTGCCACGCGCGCTCGTCGACGTCGGGGCAATAGTACGGAGTGCCGTTCCACACATTCTGCGACCACCCCGCCGGCAACTCGAGGCCGCCCTCGGCGCCCGCGACACCCTCGGCCTCCACGTCATCGGCGCCCTCATCCGCCGCGGCCCGCGCCGCCGCCTCGCGCTGCTCAGCCAACGTGCCGCGCCGCACGTTCTCTTCCAAGTACATGGTGCGGCGCGGGTTCACGAAGGACTCGTGGCCCTCCCAGATCGCAGCCAAGTTGCAAACTGCACGCTGGACGCGCTCCTCGTCGACGAACGCGTCCTTCACCGTGGGGCGAGTGGCAACCGCGCCCGGGGCAGCCGCCGCGCCAGCGTCGGCTGCGTCGCCCGCTGGGCCCGCGGGACCAGAGCCAGCCTTTTGGACTTCGAGCAGCAGCTGAGCAATGGCGAAGTCGTAGAGGAAGCGCTGCAGCTGGCGAAGCCGGGCGGCTTTGTCCTCATCCACGTACTGAAGACGGTCGGCCGCGCTCCAGTTCACGCTGTCCACCAGGCGATAGAGAGCTGCACCTTCGGGCGCGAAGCGCGCCACAGCGTTGGGGTTGCTCTCCACGAAATCCTTGACCACCCTCATGCCGTCAAGCACTTCCTTCCTCGGGGCAGGCAGCTTGTCCCTGCGCCACAATCCGTGCGTGTCGCGCTCCAACTCCCCGTCTGCCTTCTTGACAACCGCCGGGGGATCGAAACCGTCCGGGGGCCCGCGTACGGATTCTCCGGAATCAGCGGCATGGCGCAATACCGGTCCAGCGACGCCATGGAATGGTGTCCTTCGGCCTCGCAGAGGAGCTTGTACGCGCGCGTCATGGAAGTTCATGCACCCAGTGTGGTAGAACCCCATGGTGCGAACTTCTTGCCGTTGGAGAACCTCACCGGGCGCCGCCCTGCAATGCCCCCGCGGCCGATCCGCTTAGCCCCCGCACGCGTGGCCGCATGGGAGAGGGGAGAGGGGGGGTGGTCAAAACGCGAAACGGCCGCTTGGGCAGTGCACGAGGCGCCCGGCGCTTCCTGTTAGCGAACACGTCCTTCCCGTAGTTCTTCGACGCGTCGCGATAGAGCTTCGAGGCCATGCCGTCGTCGAACAGGTCGTTGTACCCGGCCTGATTCTCGTACTTTTTCTGGGCGCCGCCCGAACCGAGAAGATTCACTTGCTCGCAGTGGCTCCCGAACTCCGCCTCTGCCCGGATGGCGGACCGCCACCCGCGCGCGGACTTTTTCGGGTCTGCCCAAATGGCCGACGTACGCGTGCTAGTACGAGTGGAGCGGGCGTGCGGGTTCGGCTACGTAGGCGCACTAATACGACAGCAAAGTGCACGGACGTGCGTACGAGTACGGCTACGTGAGCCTACGAATACGGCGGCGGTGCGCGGCTCGGGCGTACGAGTACGGCTACGTACGGCTACTAGTACGACTGCGACGTGCACGGCCGAACGTACGAGTACGGCTAAGTACCGGTCCGAGTACGACTGGAGCGGGCGTACGACTTCGGCGATGTAGGCCTACTAGTACGGCAGCAGAGTGCAAGAACGGCCGTACTAGTACAGCTACGTACGCCTACTAATACGACGGCGGTGTGCCGGGTCGGGCGTACGAGTACGGCTACGTACGGCTACGAGTACGACTGCGACGTGCCGGGCCGAGCGTACGAGTAGGGCCACGTACGCGTACTAGTACGACCGGAGCGGGCGTACTAGTACGGCCACGTAGGCCTACTAGTACGACTGCGGAGTGCAGGGACGGTCGTACTAGTGCGGCTACGTAGGCCTACTAGTACGACGGCTGCGTGCGGGGCGGGGCGTACGAGTACGGCTACGTACGGCTACGAGTACGACTGCGACGTGCACGGCCGAGCGTACGAGTACGGCTACGTACGGCTACTACTACGACTGCGGCGTGCACGGCCGAGCGTACGAGTACGGCTACGTACGGCTACTAGTACGCCCCGCGGTCGTACTAATAGGACGAAGTAGGCCTACTAGTACGACGACCGGGCTAAGCAAGCCTATTCTGGGCCCAAGAGGCCTTCAAAAGGACCTCCAGAAGGCCCGAAGAGGCCAAAATCATTGAGTTTCATTCGTTTTTGAAGTAGTGTGGCGTTTGCTCATTTTCTGCGTTCCGACGGCCCAGAGACGGCCCCAGAGGCCACCAAAATGGGCCCAAGAGCACCCAAGAGGCCTCCGAGATGGCCACCTGACGGTCCAAGAGACCCCACAAGACCCCAAGAGGATCCACCCCAAGACGGCCCAGGAGACCTCCAAGCCGCGCAAGATGATCTCCAAGACAATCCTGAAGCGCCCCAAGAGGGCCCCAAGTCCGCCCAGAGAGGCCCCCAAGGCAGCTTCCGACGGCGTCAGACGGGCCAGCGACGCCCTCAGATGGCCAAACAACCCAATGAGCCTCCCAAGGCCCCCAAGAGGCCTCCAAGAGGGCCCCCAGTGAGCTGCCTGGAGGCCCCCAAGAGTGACACAAGGGGCTCCCATGAGGACTACTCCTCCTGCTGGTCCTCCTCCTCCTCCTCCTCCTCCTCCTCCTCCTTGTTCCTCCCTCCCCCTCTTGTCTTTTCTCTCCCACGCGTCGTCCGAAGGGTTGCCACAACGGCCGAGGGAATGCGTAGTTCGATAGGTTGGCCGAGCTCAGTCCGCAACGTGCGGCCACATAGGCTCTTCCAGAGGACAAGGGGCGGCGGTGATTCACCGCAGGCGTCCTCGATCCGCCGCCCCATGGCTTGCCAAACTTCGTTCTGTCCCAGGGCTGGACCAACACGTTGTGTTTCGTGTTGTTGTCGTGAGGTTGTTCGTTTTGCTCCGTCTGTTTTCCTGCACCTCCCTGCCAAGACGAAACACAATGCACAACCGAATTCCAGCAAAACACCGTTTAGGTCCAGCCCTGTTCTCTCCCAAAGCACTCCCAGCGGGGAGCTCCCCCACAAATCCCCCTCTCGTTGGCCAGATCGCCCCCGGGACGGCCAAGGTGGCGCAAGATGGCCTCCAAGATTTAGGTCGGGCATGTCCCCCTACAGATGGATCTTCGACGAAGAAAGAAAAACATTTAAACATTACTCCATCAAACATGGTCGGAAATTCGTCCCCAGACCATTGTTTGACTATTATTGACGATTCCTCCCGTAGAGGGACATGCCCGACTTAATCTAAGATGCCTCCCAGACGGCCCCGAGAGAGCCCAGCCTGCAGCCCCCTCCGCTCCCCGCCTCCCCGCGCCCCAATCGGCTACACGAGAGAGCGACCCCACGCAGGAGCGACCTTTGGTGTGCGGCTTCACGGGGGGCGCGGGGTTGCCAAACCAAGACGCGCAAGCCGCTGCTACCGCTTCGCGCTCAGTGATCGGGGGACCCCATTGAGCCGCCACCAAAAATCATTCGGGCGAAGGGTCACTCTTACGTCTAATCGACCCAACCCACATGCCTAAGCAGGGACCGACCGTCCTGGCATTCCTATAGGCCTGCCAGGACATGTTCTTAGAACCAAACATGTTCCAGGAATGAAGACAATGTTCTTAGAACGGAAGCCCGGCGTGTTAAAACAAGGCAGTCTTAGCCAGACATGCTCTAAGAGCATTGCGTGCCGACCACAAAAAGGTTCTTAGCGAATTCTCGGGTGGGCCTATGGGCAAGCTGCGACGCTTCGTCACTGCTCGACATGCGCCTCCCCCCCCCTCCCCTCCCCCCCTCCCACCCCCCACGGCGCGGCGCGGGCGCTGGCGGCGCGCCGAGTGCCCCGCGAGCGCTGCGGGCCCGGCGGGCTGCAGCAGGGCCTCGAGGGAGGCGACCTGGGGCGGAGGGCGGAGGACGCAGTGCCGTGGGCGACAAACGGCTCCTACTCCTCCCCCTCCCCCTCCTCCTCCTCCTACTCCTCCTCCTCCTCCTCATCCCTTTCTCCTCCATTCATTTTTCCTTATAAATAACTCCTCCCCGTCGCACCCCGAAACGGGTCGGTGTGGCGGGCCAGGCGTTTCGTCTGAGACTTTCCCACCATGTATGTACCTGAAGCTCGAACTACAACTTAACGGAGGGAGGGCGGATAATTCTCAAAATGCGTTTTTCGCCTTAGCGCCACGCGCACTCGTCTAAAAAAATTGCAACAGCTTCACTGATGGAGGGCGGGTCGTTGTCAAAACGTGGCTCGCCAGAACGCCGCGCACAGGTGTCTCAAAAGATTGCAAAGGCGAGATTTGCGTTCGATCACGATTTGTTATTGTGAGGGCGCGGAAATCTGGACGAGTCGCTGCGTTGGCGTCCTAGCAGTTTTGTTCTAGAGTGATTTAGGATTGTCAGGGCGAGGAAATCAAGTTGAGTTGCGGTGTTGACGCACAAGATATTGCGTGCTGGCAAGATTCAGCAGTCAAGTCGCAACCACCACGTCGATTCGCGGCGTTGAAATCCCAAGGATGATGCTTAGACACGGCGGAATATGATCAGTCAATTGTTTTACAACGGGGCTTTTCCCGCAGCGAAATCAATCATTACAGGAGCCTGCGGAAAAAAGGGAGTTTAGAGAGGGTTGATTGAAACATCGTTGATGGTTATTGGGTTCTCAGCGGTCCTCCTTCTCCTCCTCCTCCTCCTTCTCCTCCTCCTCCGTCTCCTCCTCTTCCCCCTCCTCCTCCTCCTCCTCCTCCTCCTCCTCCTCCTCCTCCTCCTCCTCCTCCTCCTCCTCCTCCCCCTGAGATCGTTTTCCTCCTCCTCTCCCTTTCCCTCCTCCTCCACCTCCTCCTCCTCCTCTTTTTGCTCTTCCCCTTCCCCATGTTCCTCTTCCGTCACGGCCCCAGGCATCCCGAGTGCGAGGGGACCCCCGGGCCAAGCGGGACGCGCCCGCGCGCGCTGTGCCGTGCCCGCGTGCGCTGGGGCACTCGCCCACCTCCTGCTCGCCTCGCAGCGGTGGCGGCGGCGCCTCCTCCGCCTCCTCCGTCGCCTCCGCCTCCTCCCCTCCTCCTCCTCCTCCTCCTCCTCATCATCATCATCATTCTCCTCCTCCTCCTTCTCCTCCTCCTCTCCTCCTCCTCCTCTCCTCCTCCTCCTCCTCATCATCATCATCATTATCCTCCTCCTCCTCCTCCTCCTCTTACTCCTCCTCCTCCTGTTCCTCCTCCTCTTCTTGCTCCTCCTCCTCCTCCTGTAACTCCTAGTCATCCTCCTCCTCTTTCTCCTCCTCGTCTTCCTTCTCCACCTATTCCTCCTCCTCTTCCTCCTCCTACACCGTCTTCACAAGGAACAGCGTCTTCACAAAAACAACGTCTTCACAAAAACGCGTCGTCACAAAGAATAGCGTCTTCAAATAGCGTCTTCGGCGCCGGCTCGAACTGGGAAACCTGGTTGCCTTGGCAATGTATGTATGTATGTATGTATGTATGTATGTATGTATGTATGTATGTATGTATGTGTGCATGCATGCATGTATGTATGTATATATGTATATATGTATATGTATATATTCATATATATATATATGGCTCGGCGTTGTACCGAACTTGCCTGCGCCCTGAAGCATGGGGCGGTCTCCTTGCTCGCGCTAGACTGGAGGGAAGCATTCGACAGCGTGGGCGTAGACGGCATGATGGCTGCTCTGGAGCGCTTCGGTATCCATGCTAGGTACCGCGCGTTGCTGCGAGGCATGATACACGGGCGACATGTCTACGTCGACGACATGAGGCACCAGTCCGCCAAGCGCCGCCAATTGTCTGGGATAGAATATCACAAAGATGTTTCCTCGACCCGCTTTTGCTTATTGTCGTTATGAGTGCGTTGGAGGATGCCACGGCTCTCTTGGGCCCATCCACCGCAGAGGCATATCGCAAGCAAGACCTTGCATATATTACCGTTGCCGATGACACTTGCTGATAGGGACTGCCACGGCACACGTCGAAGAGTTCGCAATGTGCGTGGCGCGGGTTGGGAAGATGTACGGCCTGGAGCTTCGCTTGGATAAGCTCCATCTACTGCAGGCCCGCGTGGATCGACCTCTTCGCGTCTCTGGCCACGACGTAGTACCGGAGGAGTCGCTGATGTATTTGAGCACATCTCTGTCAGTGGATGGCAGAATGGCGGGGGAACTCACTCGACGAATCGGGATGGCGCACGCAGCCTGCTGGGCAATTCGGCAGATATGGGGGCACTCATCCCTGTCCTTGCAGTGGCTGCGCGTGTTCCACGCACCACTCATCGCATCGAAGCTGCTTTACAGCTTGACAGCGGGCTGTTTCACGAAGGCTGACCTTCGCAAATTGGGCGGGTTCCAAACACGGTGCCTGAGGGTGATCCTGAAGATCCAACCAGCGTATGCCTCCCGGATTTCGAGCGCTTCCGTACTGCAAACGGCCAGCGCGGAAGCCGCCTCCGTTCAATTACGGCGTAAACAACTGCGTTTGCTTGGGAAGGTGATCGGGCAGCCGGAAAAGATCGCCATGCGAGACGTATCGTTCTGTCCGGGCTACTCCTTCGCCCTGCAACAGATCGCTTCGTCCAGGTCCGCGGAAGGCCACGAATGGAGTGGATCCGCGCAAAGCTACCTCACGGCGTGCGGATCGCAAGGAGCTTGCAAGGACTGGAACACACCGTGTCCAACGAGCCGCACTGGCGCAGGATCGTCAAGGAAGCCTGACCCGCCGCCCCCATCCTCCCCCTCCTGTTTCTCGTTCTCCCCCCTCCACTTGTGCAGCTGTGTCGAGGCGGCCGGCGGCCGTCTGGACTGGCAAAGTCCGCGTTTCCTCCGTCGCCCCGCGTTCCTCCGTCGTCCTGCGTTCCTTCGTCTTAGTTGCGATCGCTCGGTCTTTCTCGCCCGCGTTTCCTCCGTCGCCCCCCTTGTCGTCCTCGCCCGTCGGGCGTCCCTCTTCCTTCTCGCGTCCCCTTCTCCCCTCTGCAAGGCGTCGATGATATGCACGCACGTCCATTGCTGCGTTGGGCAGCTCGCAGGGCGGACGCCGTCAAAGACGGGGTTCCGGCCCACATGCATGTGCACGCGCCCATGGGCTGCTGCAGCCTACGACCTGACCTGACCTGACCTGACCAGGGGGGGCCCTCGGAGCGTGCCCAGAGGGGCCCAGGAGGGAGAGTTCCAATTGAGACTCCGAGCCCTCCGCCCCCCAAAAAGGCCCAGGCCCCCAAAGGCCCCCCCCAACGGCCGCCAAAACGACTGGTGACAGCCCCCCGTAGCTCCGACCTCGAAGTTCACGAGCGACCGCGCGCCATGGCGGTCGCAACCTGATCATTTATCAGCCGTACCGAGGGAGCACTTCGTCCGGCCACGGTCCAAATGTCAAAACATAGCGCGGCCACGGTCTGGTAGTCAGGTCGAGAGAGAGAGCACAAACTATACAGGAAATGCAGATGAGAGAAACAGAGATGAGAGACAGAGAGTGAGGGAGGTAGAGAGAGAGAGAGAGAGAGCGGGAGAGAGAGACGGAGAGAACGAGAGAAAGAGAGATAAAGATAAAGAAAGAGAGAGAGAGAGAGAGCGGGAGAGAGAGAGACGGAGAGAACGAGAAAAAGAGATAAAGATAAAGAAACAGAGAGGCCACGGTTGTTGAGCAGGGACCGTCCGTCCTGGCATTCCTATAGTCCTTCCACGAAATGTCCTTTAAACCCGCAAGTGTTCGAATAACAAAAACAATGTTCTTAGAACATAAACCAAGACACTCCCGGCCAAAAATGTTATAAGAGCATTTCGCGGAAAACCACAAAAAGGTTCGTAGAACATTGTTTGGTTGGGCTATAGGCGAGCCAGGACGCTTCGTCACTGCTTGAGGTTGGGGGGCGGCGCGGACCCACGGCTCCTGCGGCTGAGGGAGCATCGGCGACGCCTCGCCGCGCGGGCGGGCAGGTGAGGGGAACCAGCGCCTGCCTAAGACGAAACCATGGGCGACGGTAGCACCGGGTGAAGGTGCACCGAAGATTGCTGAGATCCGGCGGCTTCTTCCCAGGATGCCCCGGGGCCGCGGCCGCTCCAAATTTTTCCTGAAACAATTTCGCCATTCGGAGCTCACGGATGCCGCGCGAGAGGTTGCCCAGCCAATTGCGCATGAGACATCCTCGCGACACTGGGGCTCGAAGGTGCTACACTCTAGGTGGTCCGGCCACGCCCGCCCGAGACATCGTCGCACCTCCTGGGACACCCTCGCGACTCTGGGCTTGGAGACTTGCAGTGGTCCGATGTGTTCTGCCTGCGGATCTCCCCGCAACTCTGAAGTCCGAGGTGCCGCGTGTGTGGTCTGGCCAGCTGCGCCAAGGACATCCTGCCAACTCCGGGCTCCGAATTTCGTTTCACCAGGCACATCCTCGCAACTCTGGGTTCTTAGCTGTCGCGCTGGAGGTGCTTCCTCGTCGCCATCGTCGTCGTCTCCGTCGTCGTCGTCGTCTCCGTCGTCGTCGTCTTCGTCGTCGTCGTCTTCGTCGTCGCCGTCGTCATCACCGCTGTCTTCGTCGCCGCCGCCGCCGAAACAGACGTCGTCGCGCCGCCGCTGCCGCCGCTGCCGAGGCCACTGCAGTCCTCGTCGTCGCCGTCGCCACCGACGCCGCTCTCGCCGCCGTCGTCGTCGCAATTGTCCTCGGCACGGTCGTCGTCATTGTCGCCGTTGCCGCCAACGCCGCCGGCACGATCGTCGTCTCAGTCGTTGTCGTCGTCGTTGACATCGTCGCCGCGCACGCCGCTGTCATGTTGATCGTCATTGCCGCCATCGCCGCCGCCGCTTCCGATGATGGCGTCGTCGTCGTCGTCGTCGTCGTGTGGCCCGCCCCCTCGTCCTCTACAGTGCCCCCGCCCCCCCCACCACCTTCTCACTATTTTCCCCCGCTCTTCCCTCCCATCGCCAAATTTCAAATAGGGTCGACAAAGGCCTAAACAGGGAATCGACGTCGCACCCGTCGCCGCCGCAGCGGTGGTGATCGCCGTCGCTGTCGTCATCGCCACCGCCATCGTGGTCGCCGCCGCCGTCGCTGCCGTCGCTGCCATCGTTGTGTCGCCCCTGCCTCCGTCGCCCCCGCCACCGACGCCGTCGTCCTTGCCGAATCATTGTGATTGTCGCTGTCGCCGCGTTCGTCGTACCGTAGTCGGCATCGCATTCACCGTCGCCGCTGCCACGGTGCTCTTCGTCGTCGCCGCCGTCGTCAACGCCACCGCCGCCGAGGACTCTACCAAGGGAGTTGCCCTACAATGGCGCAGCGACAAAATCAGGGAATGCCCTTCAATGCTCTGCCTGCTCCTTGCGTTCGCTCGCCGCCGTCTTGGCCATCGCCTGGACAGCGGCGACGCCGATTTCCGCGCGCCGTCGCCGCGGCAGCGCGTCGGTTGCCCCGCAGCGCGTGCGCCGGCTGCCCCCCGGCGGGAACATCACTTCGAGAGCCCAATTGCCAGCCAGTTACTACGGGTGGCGGCAAATCGGCGCCACCTGACGCCACTCGATATTTCACAAGTTTGCCCACGATGTGGAAAGTCGACGCCGCCTGACGCCAATTCGCTTGACTCGAGCTCGCTCGGCTGGGACGCAAACCGAAGAATTTGAACTGCTCTGGTTTTCCTCCCGAGGATGTCTCACGCGAAACGGGCGTGAGCACTTCGCGAACAGCATCTAGGAACCCTGACTTCTGAGGATGTCTCAGGCGAAACGGGCCAACGCACCTCAAGTCGGGGCATCTGGGAGCCTGGGGTTTCAAAGATGTCTCAGTCGCGAGCACCTCGCGAAACGCATCTTTGAACCCAGAGGTGTGAGGACGTGTCAGGAGAAATGCTCCAGAGCATCTCACGTCAGGGCATCTCGGAGCTTGAACATTATCGGATCCCCACCAACACTCGGCTGGCACGCGCCAGAGGCGACTTTGAATACCGTTCGCTTGATTCCCCAAACAGCTGTGCTGACTGGGGTTCTGCTCAGATGTGCCGAGCTGTGCTGCTAGTTATGGGCGACGATAGCTTCGCCCACACTGCTACCTTCGCCGCCTTTCAGAACAGACTTTCGCATGAGACATCCTCACGACTCTGAGCTCAGAGAAACTCCGACCTGAGGTGGTCTGGCCAATTTCGCCTGAGACATCTTCTCAACTCTGGGCTTGGCAGCTTCATGACCTGATGTGGTTTTGCCCGTTTCGCGTGAGACATGCTCCAAACTTTGGGTGCAGAGGTGCCCTGACCTGAGTGGTCCAGCCCCTTTCTCCGGAGGCATCCTCGCAACTCTGAGCTCAGAGATGCCCTGACCTGAGGTGGTCCAGCCAATTTCGCCTGAGGCATCCTCGCAACGCTGAGCCCAGCGATGCTGCGCGCGAGGACGTCCGGCCAATTTCGCATGACACATCCTCGAAGCTCTGGGTTTCGAGATGCCGCGCGCAGGGTGGTCTGGCCCGTTTCGCCAGAGAAATCTTCGCAACTTTTCGCTCAGAGATGCCCTGATCTGAGGTGGTCCAGCCCGTCTCGCCTCAGACAATTTTGCAACTCTGGGCTGAGATGCCGTGACCTGAGGTGGTCCGGTCCTTGTCGCCTGGGACATCTTCGATGGGGCTCCGAAGTGTCTGGACATGAGCTGGACCAGCCAAAGTTGCCTGAGACATCCTCGCCACTCGGAGCTCACGGATGCCGCGCGAGAGGTTGCCCAGCCAATTGTGCCTGACATGTCCTAGCCACCAGGGCTTGAAGATGCTGCGCGCGAGGTGGCCCGACCAAGTTCGCCTGAGACATCCTCGCGCCTCCTGGGGCATTCTCGCGACTCTGGGCTTGGAGACCAGAAGCGGCCCAGCCTGTTCTGCCTGCTGCTTTCCTCGTAACTATGAGCTCCGAGGTACCGCGCGCGAGGTGGTCTGGCCAACTGCGCCAAGGGCATCCTCCCAACTCCGGGTTCCAAAATGCCGCTTCGCTTGACACAGCCTCGCAACTCTGGGTTCCCAACTGTCGCGCTAGAGGTGCTGCCGCGTCGCCATCGTCGTCGTCGTCGTCGTCGTCGTCGTCGTCGTTGACATCGTAGCCGTCGTCGTCGTCGCGGTCGTAGTCGTCTTCGTCGTCATCACCACCGCTGTCCTCGTCGTCGCCACCGCCGAAACAGACGTCGTCGCGGCCGCCGCTGCCGCCGCTGCCGAAGCCACTATTTCAGTGATCGTCGCCGCCGTCACCAACGACGCCGCTCTCGCCGTCGTCGTCGTCGCCATTGTCCTCGGCACGGTCGTCGTCGTTGTCGTCGTTGCCGGCGCCGCCAACGCCGCCGGCGTTATCGTCGTCGTCGTTGTCGTCGTTGACATCGTCGCCGCGCGCGCCGCTGTCACCATGGCGGTCGTTGCCGCCGTCGCCGCCGCCGCTGTCGATGATAGCGTCGTCGTTGCGTGGTCCTTTTCCTCGTCTTCTACCTCGCCCCCGTCCTCCTCGCTACCTTCCCATTCCGTCGCCACCGCAGCGGTGGTGATCGTCGTCGCTGTCGTCGCCGACATCGCCATCGTGGTCGCCGCGGCCGCCGCTGCCGTCGTCGCCATCGTTGTGGTCGCCCCCGCCCCTGTCGTCCGCGCCGCCGTCGCCGTCGTCGTTGTCGCGTCGTCATCGTACTCGTCGCTGTCGCCGCGTTCGCCGTACCGTAGTCGGCATCGCCTTCACCGTCGCCGCTGCCACGGCGCTCTTCGTCGTCGCCCCCGTCGCCGACGCCGCCGTCGCTAAGGACTCTACCAAGGGAGTTCTACAATGGCGCAACGGCAAAATCAGGGAATGCCCCTCAATGCTCTGCCTGCTCCTTGCGCGCGCTCGCAGCCGTCTTGGCGCTGCGGCAGCGCGTCGGCTACCCCGTAGCGCGTGCGCCGGCTGCTCCCAGGCGGGCGCATCATTTCGAGTCCAATTGCCAACCACTCACCAGAACTGCGCGTCACAACCGTTCGTCAGGTCACAGGGGGATGCGCAGATTCCTTCGACGCCCGTCAAACATAGAGCAAAACAAAAACAACGAAGAGCCCCGGGTTGCAAGGATGTCTCGGGCGAATCGAAAACGACGACAAGTCAGGACATATTTGGGCCCAGAGTTGCGACGATGCCTCAAGCGAAAAAGGCTCCAAGCAAAGAGATGCGAGGATGTCTCAGGCGAAACTGGCAGGACCACCAGTTGCGTGGCATCTCAGGGCTCACAGATGCCGCGCGAGAGATTGTCCGACCTCTTTCGCATGAAACATCCTCGCAACTCTGAGCTCCCACATACCGCGACCTGAGGTCCAGCCCGCTTCGCCCAAAACATCCTCGTAACTCTGGGATCCGATGCCGTGACCTGAAGTGGTCCAACCCCTTTCGCCTGAGACATCCTCGCAACTCTGAACTCCCAGATGCCGCGCGAGCGTTGGTCTGGCCCTTCCGCCTGACGCGTCCTTGCAACTCGAAACTCCCAGATGCCGTGACCTGATTTGGTCAGGCCCGTTTCGCCTGAGACTTCCTTGCAATTCTGGGTTCTGAGAAGCCCTGACCTGAGGAGGTTTGGCCCATTTCGCGTGAGACATCCTTGCAACTCTGACCTGAGAGATGCCGCGACCTGAGGTGGTCCTGCCCACCCCGACTGAGACATTCTCGCAACTCTGGGCTCAGAGATGCCCTGTCCTGAGGTGGTCGTGCCAATTTTGCCTGGTGTCCTGGCAGCTCCGGGCTCCGAGATGCTGCGCAACAGGCGGTCTGGCTGGTTTCGCATGAGACGTCTTCATGAATTTGGGATCAGAGGTAGTGCGTGAGAGGTGGTCCGACCAATTTCGCCTGGGACATCCTCCCAACTCTGGGCTCGAAAATACTGCGCGCGAGGTGGTCTGGACAATTTCGACTGAAACATTCTCCCGACTCTGGGCTCAGAGATGCCGCGCGCCA